ATGTCTTTGATGTAATTTCAAACAGCCTCTTATCGGCACCACGCCACGATGAAGAAACATCATTTGATGATCCCTCCAATGTCGGCATCCAGCCAGTCACGTGTGTCCGGCCAGGTGTAGGGCCGCGACGTGGTACAGGGCCCTTCGGAGTAGGAGCGATGGCGCCTTGAAATACAGCTGCTGCGGCGGCCACTGCTGGTCCTCTGGATCGACGTCGATTAGCAGGTTGCCCCGCAGGTCGTTGTTGCTTGCTATATCTAGAATTGGAGTCATCTCGGCGTTTTCCTCTTCTTCTGTTTAGGCGGCGGTCTGAGATGATCAGGTCCGAGCGAATTGGACAGACTCGACGAAACCGCAGATGTAGAGACATCAAAAGGCGGATCTGTCTTCGGCTTGGAGGAGGTGCTTTCGGCGTTACCCCAGCGGGCATCCATGGCCCACGTCGCAGGGGCCCTCTGCCAGAAAGAGGCTCACACCATCAGGCTTTCTGAATGCCATATGCCAGATAGGTGCCTTTCCCTTCATGGACAGGTTAGTTATATTCAGTAGCGCTAAGCCTGTTCATCAATAATAGTCTTTACCCAATTTACAGGTCCAGCGCGATAAGCGACCTTTCTTTTTGGGGAAAGACCCATGCTTTTAGTGACGATGTACCTAGTGTCAATGGGAGTGTCCGCATCGTAAGTGACGCCCGTGACAGTGGAGAGGGCGTCGGGGCAATCCGAGGCGCACCCTGCAGGAGCCGCTGCCGCGGGGCATACCGCTTCGGCCAATTCTTTAGCTTCATCATTGTCTTGCCGGTCGTCTTCTTCTGGTTTTGGCGAAGCAGGCTCCCCCGCATTGTATTCACGGTTGAATATCTTGAAATAATGAACAGGTGAAAGAGCCTTCCATATCTTAACAGATGGAGATATTTCCTAGGCGGTAACTTGTTCGCAGTCGTCTTCCGTCGACTGCGCGCTGTACGGCGGTGCATTTGGATCGGCACAGTAACCCGCAACATCACCGTGAGACCAGACCCACGGTGCCCTGCGGAAGTTGGGGCCCCTTGATGGGCGTCTCACGGGGCAGCCGAGCCCGCGATCGCCATACTCGAAGCACGCGCGATCAACGCCTATGTAAAGTTCCCGCTCCTCGATGATCGCCCTCTTGAGGTCGCGCTCTATAAGGGCTTCTTGCGTTGGGGCAGCCCGTCCTTTTTTGAGCGAATGACCTTGCCTTTTGCAGTTCGATCAACCTTACGAAAAGAATACCAGCGACGAGTATGGTGCTCAGTCCAACCCTTGTCCAACCACCGTTGCATGTCATATGGGTCTATGCACTGACGAGCCAATCCGGCATCCGAGTAGCTAACAAGGCGCTGCATGTCGTCTTCTGGATATTATGCGCGAGGTTCTTCCCCCTGAGGCGGGCGCCCCCGCAGACGCCCCCTCCTCGGGGGAGCGCCAGGACTATTGACCTTCCATGGACGGGGCCCTTGGCTTCCTCGCCTCAGGACGATGAGGACGCTGAAGGCCGCTAGAGCGAGCGCCACTGGAGCGCGCACACGCACGGTCGGGCGAGCCACTGCGGGCTCGACCGCGACGCACCAGACGCGCGTCATCTTCCCACTATTCGTCATCGTCGTCGGCGCGACACCTGCGTCTCCAGGACTGGCGGCTTGCCGATCGCCCCCGGCGGCTCATGGAACGGCCTGAAGCTACGAATGCACGTTGAAATCCTTCGTCGCGGCCGAGCTCATACTGCATGCGCTCAGACAGATCGCTAACATCTCGCGGGATTCCCCGCAAAGGGCCATCATCACTCAATCCCATGTTTGTCGGATTGACAGTAACCCGTGGATAAAACATCCACTGCATGTCCGTCTCTGTCGCAGGAGTAGTGGCTTCTGAATCCTCGGCTGCCCCCCCCCCCCCCCCCCCATTTCGTCATCTCCTTCGGCGGGCGCGCGGAAGTTCTCAACAAATTCAATATGAGCAGGTTGCTCCCGATGGGTATGCCCAGCCAGTCTGCCTGATCGATATCATTGTGGCCAATGAATACCTCCTCGAACAGCCCGTCGGCACAACTCTCGAGGGACATACGGGCACTCAAATATCTGGCAGCCATGAACTTAACAACTGCAACTGAGCTATCGGCAGGGTCGGCCAAAAGTGACCCCCGGTCAACATACTATATATCCGAGTCAGTCTGAGCCAAATGAATCGACGGACTTCTGCCTCTCCCATCGCCCTGAAGGCATTCGCGGCAAAAGCGCTGCGCGCTATGGCACGCGTCGCACTCCATGGTTTCACCGTTGGCATCCTTCGGGTGTCCCCGACGTCCCTTACCTTTTCCTGATGCATGCCTACGGTTCCTGCCTGCACCTAGGAATATCTCTTCATATTGTGGCCCGGTAAGGGATGTTAGGAATGCTAACATGCCTCTGCCATGCAATCGCCGCCGCTTACCTTTTACCCCTACCTCGACCCTTGCCTGTTCCCTTGAATGCTCGGACGATACGCCGTACTTTGCGAACTGGCTTCTCCAGAAATCGCCTCCACCTGCGTTCATGTTCCCGGTATCCTAAGAATAACCATTGCGCCTATTGTTCTTCCGTGAGGTCCGTAGGCATATCGGAGTAGTCAAAGGCAATAGCCTCGTCGTCCAAAGACGCGTCGTATCAGCACCAGAGTCGAAGTCGGACTCAGCAGGTTGCCCCGCTGAGCCCATCAGGGCCGTGGCTCGCGCGGGGGGCACCGCGTCGGGCGGCCCCCGAAACCCGGCCCAGGAGTCCTGCGATCCCGAAGCCCGACCACCATTCTGAGCCAGTAGTGTGGTGCTCTGTCGGTTGCGGATCGTCATTCCAAACGTTATTAGCAAATTGCCCTGCCTTTGCCTCAACGCGGAAGGTCTCGGCTCGGTGACCGCGACTGAAAATTCCACCAATATCGCCAGGGGTTCTCTCAACAAGTTGAGCGCATGACCTCACGCGTTCAAGTAGAGAGTCAAACTGTTGCTGGTCCCTCGGCACGCGGTGGTTTAATGGCTGCAGGAGTTGCTGCGCACGCGACGCCCCCACTCCAAGGGCTATGAAAAAAAAAAAAAAACTAACTGTTAGGATTTGGAAGTTGGGGATGTTGAAGCCTGCCGTTTCAGTTTCATAGCGGGCTATCGCGAAGCGTGCCAAAGTCTGGTCGATCCGTTCTCCCGCATGGACTCGGAAGTCAATGACAGCTGTACCAGAGTTGAGTTGGCGTTCCTCTTCTAGGTTCTCGAACTTCGTACATACGAGGAACATGATGTAGGTGACGCCAGCGGTATGGCGGCCACCTATGTTAACGCCGAACTTGATAACTGTCGGGGGAACTCTCATGGCTATGGTCCGTGCGAGGCCCCCCAAGCCTCGCTGCAAGGCTACAGCTTGCTGGGAGGGCGTCACGTTGCCTGTGGCCACGTTGGTCCAGGCCTTCACCTCGCGGACGAATTCGCGGAAAGGTACTTAACTGGAGGGTCCCAGTGGGGGCCGGTCGTTCTTGCGTCGTCTCCGCCACGCATACGTCTTACCCCACACCCGATAGCGACCCATGTGAGCCAAAGATACTCATACCATTCCAGTGGCCTCGCAGGTCGTAGTCGGATGTTTTCGGTTGGGATTTGCGGCATGTGGTCGTAAGCCTGCGTGGGGTGGGAGCGGCACAATGTCGTACCGCATGTTTCCATGCATTATGTCTTCGAAGAAGTTTTCAATTGGAGTAGGTGGGTGGACTTCAGGAGTGTAGTAGCGCAGGGATGTAGGACGCAGGTAAGAGGCCTCCGCGTAGGCAGAGGTGTCACTGCAAGTGTCTTTGCTATGTTGCGTAGTTATACACATTCCTCCGCGCAGACCCACTGCACCCTGATGTTCCACCACGTCAGTAGTCCACCAGATAGTGCCGTGGATGGGGAGGAGTAGAGCTAGAGCTGACCACCATAGGCCAGCCCCGCTACCAAGTTTGAAATGGGTTGGGAGGCCCAATCAGCAGCTTCGCCTCAGGCGAAGCCCAGCTCCCGCTTTGTACCGTAGTAACGATAGTCCCAGTAGTTGGGGGCGAGCCATCTCAAGCAGTTTTGGTATCGATGGCAAATGGTACACCTCACGCTGAGGTGTAGTCAGATCTGGCCGGCCGGCCGCTTTGAGCCAAGCAGCCGCGGATGCACGCTCGTTCCCACTCACAGGCAACGCCCAGCTCGCTTTGGAGTAGATGGCCTGCAGACGGTCCAAGAGAGCCTCAAGACGGCGCCAGAGGCCCTCCAGAGGGCCCCCGAGAGGGCCTGAGGAGGCCCAAAGACATTGAATCTTCCACTGATCTCTGAAGGGTTTTCTGGTTCTCCCCTTTTCGGGCCAAGAAGGGGCCCAGACGGCCCAAGAGGCCCCAAAGATCGTCCCAAGACGGCCCCAAAAGGGCTGAAAACGGTCCAAGAGGCCCCCATGCGGACCTGCGTTCTTGCCAAAACTACCAAGATAGCTGTAAGGTGGCCCCGAGAGGCCTCACGATGAACCCAAGATGGCCGCCCGATGCGCTCGCCGAGATGGCCCAAGTCGGCACCAAGATCGCCCCTGGGTGTCCCCAAGAGGCCCCAGGATGTCCTCAGAGGCCCCAAGATGGCATCAAGATTGCTCAATATTGCCTCAAGGTGTCCACTAAACTAAAGGCCACCAGGTGTCCCTAGGAGGTCTGGCCCAAAAAAGCCCCAAGATGACCCCGGGCCGCCCAAAATCGCCGCAAATGACTGCGAGATGGCCCCAGGAGGGTACGCTGACGGTTCCGACCCGACTGCTTTCAAGCTGTGCATGGAGGGGCCCTGGGACACACAAATAACAGGATCCTCCATATTTTCCCATATTTGCTGGGTGTTTGTCTTCCCCCCCGCTTCCCATGTTTTCCCATATTTTCTGTGGAATCGACGATTAATTGTGTCTGTGTATTTTTTCCCATCCCGAATCAGGGAAGGGCCGGGTGCAGAGGGCGAAGCTCTGCAGATAGTTGAGATGGAATGAGGGCCATGCCTTGTGCACCACGTCGCCGTGGAAGCGCATGGTGTGCAGAACCAGCGAAGGGAAAAGATGGATCAAGACAGAGGCCACATTGTCCGCGTCGTGAAAGATCAGTGCATTCCCCAGGAGAGCGCTGGCGAGCAAGAGCGGACCGCATCCGACCCCCCAGGCGGCCGCAAACATGTACTTTCGGAAATGGGTTCCTGGCAAGGCGATCACTTGGAAGTGGTCCAAGAATAGCGCCACTATTCCCGCGATGGACGTAAAGTTGGCAACCCAACAGAAGTCCAGCCAATAAGCGACCTCGCTTGGCTTCGCGCTGGCCTGATGGCAAAAGCGAACTGGGAACAGCACGCAGGCCTCGAGGATGTACACGATCCAGAAGTGCTGAGGGATACACCCGAAGCTCCACGCAACAAAGAGACAGTTGGACACTCCCAAGAAAAAATTCGTCGTGCTTAGTCCCTTGCCCTGAAGACGGGTGGCCGTCGCACTCACGATCTGAAGGCCTTTCTCCAAGGTCTGGCGCTCGATCGTGCTCAGCGTCCTCTTCAGGGCGGGGCGGTCTCCTGCCAGCAGGCTCTTGTCCTCCATCGCGACGCAGCGTCTCGCGCCTGCAAGTCTCGGCCTTGAGCCGATGCGACTACGACTCGTGCCTGCCCCGTCCCCTCCTGCCCCGCTCACTGGCTCCCCCCCGCACTTTCCCCCCTCCACCCCCTCCCATCCCCTCACATCTAGAGGCCTCCTATATGGGGTCCGAGTAGATGGGGTCGGAGGATCCCTCCACATCGCCAATGCATCGCCAATGCATCGCCGATGCATCCGCGATGCATCGACGATGCATCGGCGACGTCGGCGGTGTATCGGCGAAGCCAGCGCGGAGAAATCGGGCTCCGCATCGAGCCGCATCGCCGATGTATCGCCGATGCATCGCCGATGCATCGGCGATAGAGCGCAATCCTGCGACCCCATCTACTTCGACCCCATCTAGGAGGCCTAGAACCTCCCAGCCCACACCTACCCTCCGGTCTCCTCCCGTTCCAGCCCCCGTCGACCCCGCATCCCCTCCTCCTCTCGACGGCGGGCTCCAGGCGAGGGGGGGGGGCGCCTCTGGCCGCAACCCCACCGTGGGAGCAGGAAGGCCGCGGCAGGCGGGTGCGGGAGGGAGGAGCAGACTGGGGCAGGGCCTCCCCCTCCGCGCTCCTCGCCCGTCGCCCCCCGCAGCGGCCGAGGCCTCGCAGACGGAGCTACTCCTCGAAGGCCGGGAGGGCCACGGCGATCGGGAGAGTCTCCTGGTGCACGCCCCCGCGGCGTCGCCGAGTCGCGGCGCTCGGGGGGCAGCGAGGGACGCAGGGCCACCGTCCAGGGCACGGGTCCACAGAGGGACGGGGGGGTCGGAGGAGGGGGGGAGAAGGGGGAGAGAGAGAGAGAGAACAAAAAAAAAAGAGAGAGACAGAGAGAGAGAGAGAGAGAGAGCGCATGCGCTCCACTTGGCTTGGAGGCTTCTGCGATCACCACAGGCTGTGTTCCGCCAAGTCGGTTTGCGCGAAAGCAGACGTTCTCACGAACACCTGTTCGTTTTGAGGGTCTACAGCAAGTCCAATGAGTCGTGTGACTGACGTCCCAGACATGGTGTATTGGCACGAAGTGGGACTGTCAGGGCGCAACCGTCACATTGATTCGCAGTGTTGACGTCCCAATAAAGGTGCCCCGACACGATTCTGGTACGGTTCAGGATTTGCGAACGGTGGTGATCCAACGGGGTTCCCTCAGTGAAAATGAATCCTTGTAGGGACCTGTGATGAGCGAACTTGGAGGGGGGAATATACTGCAACATCGTTGATGAGTCTTGGGTTTACACTGCCCGCGGCCCCGGCACACGCTGCCACAGACGGAAGACCACACTGAAAACCCACCAGCTTCCCCCTTAACCTGATCGGATTATACTCCTAGACCTACAAGCCCAGAGAGTTCCGGAGGGAAGGGCGAGAACTGGTGCACACGGCGCTGAGGCGAGGGCGCTGGGTCTCCATGAAGCAGGAGAGTGGAGGGAGCTGGGAGGAGGGGGAGGTGGGGAGGAGTGAAGAGTGAGGGGGGAAAGGGGGGAAGGAGGGCAGTAGGAGAGGAGGAGGAGGAGGAGGAGGAGGAGGAGAACCCGAAGAAACGCTTCATGGTTGGAGTATGGCTCACCCGCTGGAGTGAGCCAGTCGTAGGCTCCTGGCTTACCAGTCCCTGGCGACGCTTGGGGCCCCGTAGCGGATTACAGGGTGGCGCGACCACGCAAGTATAGTGCGCATCGCCACGTGCTGGTCCTCCTCCTCCCCCTCCTCCAGCTCCTCCTCCTCCTCCTCCTCCTCCTCCTCCTCTCCTCCTCCTCCTCCTCCTCCTCCTCCTCCTCCTCCTCCTCCTTCTCATCCCCTCTCTCACCTCCTTCCTCCTCCACATGCTCCTCCTGCTCCGTCCTCCTCCTCCTCCTCCTCCTCCCTCCTCCTCCTCCTCCTCCTCCTGCCCTCCCTCCTCCTCCTCCTCCTCCTTCCTCCTCTCCTCCTCCTCCTCCTCCTCCTCCTCCTGCTCCTCCTGCTCCTCTCCTCCTCCTCCTCCTCCTCCTCCTCCTCCTCCTCCTCCTCCTCCCTCCTCCTCCTCCTCCTCCCCTCCTCCTCCTCCTCCTCTCCTCCCTCCTCCCTCTCCTCCTCCTCCTCCTCCTCCCCCCTCCTCCCCCTCCTCCCCCTCCTCCCCCTCCTCCCCCTCCTCCCCCCTCCCCCCCCCTCCCCCTCCCCTCCCCCTCCCCCTCCTCCTCCCTCCTCCTCCTCCTCCTCCTCCTCCTCTCCTCCTCCTCCTCATCATCACATCATCATCATCATCAATCATCCATCATCAGCATCAGCATTCATCATCATCATCATCATCATCCATCATCATCATCATCATCATCATCATCATCATCATCATCATCATCATCATCATCAATCGTCATCATCATCATCATCCATCATCATCATCATCATCCTCTACCTCCTCCACCTGCTCCTCCTGCCCGCGCCTCCTCCTCCTCCTCCTCCTCCTCCTCCTCCTCCTCCTCCTCCTCCTGCTCCTGCTCCTCCTCCCTGCCCCCCTCCTCCTCCTCCTCCTCCTCCTCCTCCGCCTCCTCCTCCTCCTCCTCTCCTCCTCCTCCTCCTCCTCCTCCTCCTATCCTCTTCCCCCTCCTCTCCTCCCCCACCCTCCTCCCTCCTCCCCTCCTCCCCCTCCCCCTCCTCCTCCTCCTCCTCCTCCTCCTCCTCCTCCTCCTCCTCCTCCTCCTTCTCCTCCTCCTCCTCCTCTTCTTTTTCTGATTGGTATTATTCGTGCTCATAGTATTAGTCTTCGTCGTAGTCTTCTTCTTATGCTTAGTAGCATTGTTCTTATTATTATGCTTATTAATCTGATTATTCTTCTTATTCTTATTATTCGTCTTCTTAGTATTCTGAATATTATTCTGTTTCTTATTATTATTAATATTATTTTTGTTAGTATTATTATTAATATTATTATTATGATTATTATTATTAGTATTATTATTATTATTGTTGTTGTTCGTCGTCTTAGTCTTCTTATTATTCTTATTAGTCTTATTATTCTCATTCTGCGCAGTATTAATATTACTACTACTATTAGTATTGTTATTAATGTTATTATCAGTAGTATTAGTATTATTATTAGTTGAAGTTTTATTATTACTATTATCATTGTTACTAGTAGTAGTATTAGTATTCATAGTATTATTCGTAGCATTATTATTACTAGTAGTAGTAGCATTATTATTATTGTTATTATACGTCTTCTCATTCTTACTACTAGCAATATGTTTATTATTACGTGTCGTATTCCAAGTGTTTTTATTATTCGTACGATTGTTCGTATATTTCTTCGTATTGTTGTTCTTATTATTCATATTATTATTATTATAATTGTTCGCCGTCGTCTTCGTAGTATTCGTGTTCGTCTTATTATTATGATTATTCTTGTTCGTAGTACTATTATTCTTGTTCTTAATAGTACTCTTATTCATCGTATTCGTAATAGTATTATTGGTGTTCGTCTTATTCTTCTTACTCTTATCATTATTATTATTCGTATTAGTCTTCGTTATTAGTATTCCTCCTCCTCCTCCTCGTCTTCGTCTTCTTCTTCTTATTATTCGTATTATTATTATTCGTCGTCTTCTTCTTCGTCGTCTTATTATTATGTTTATTATTCGTAGTCTTCTTTTTCTTCTTCATACGATTGTTATTATTAATATTCCCCTCCTAGCCCCGTCAACTGAACAGAAGGAGGGAGAGCCATATTTTGGCGACGACCGCGAGCACAGCCGCAGGCTCTCCGCCCCGTCCAAAAGACGGGGGAACAGAGTTGTGGGGTGGGAGGTGGAAAAAGCGCTGCTTAACCTAAACAGCTGCGGGAGCAGGGAGGAGGAGGGGCGACAGAGCACTACGGCCAGGGGGGAATAAAACCGCTTAGGCGCATGCCAAACGAAACCATATTCCCCTCCTAGCCCCGCCAACTGAACAGAAGGAGGGAGAGCCATATTTTGGCGACGACCGCGAGCACAGCCGCAGGCTCTCCGCCCACGCCCGCCCCGGGCCGCTCCCCAGGGGGATCGCCCTAACGGCGCCCACCCCCCCTCCAAACAAAGATGGCCCTAGGGGCCCGCCAATGAGACAGAGGAGGGGCGAGGGGCAGGGAGCCGGAGAGGAGGAAGGAAGGCGGGCCCGCCATCACCCCGCGCAAAACCCTGGGTGCCAAGCGCACTAATCACAGTAGCGCGGCACCGCAACTAGCTGCAGCTGCAGAGGGGTAACGCGAATACTGGAAACAGTATTGCAAAAAACAGAATCCGCCCCTCCGGGGGGCACTGCGGGGCGGGGCTGCGGAAGGCCAACTCCCCGGGCGCACAGGGTCACCACTGCGGCGCACCGGATCCAGCACCGCACCAACCGTTCCCACCGCAGCTCTTCCGCTCCCCGGAGGGGGGCCTTCCACGGGTTACATCAACTGGGCGCCGTCAAAACCGGCGGGTTCCCCCAGATTGGAGCCCGAGGGGTTCGCAAGGCCGCAAGCTTGGTGCCAGCTGCTTGCGGGAAAAACAGGCATACGGTGAGGGGGCAGCACCCCTCCGCTTACTCATGCTACGGCCAGCCAGCCATGGCTTCCACGGGCATCCCCCCTCCCCAGCTTACCGCCCCGCCAACCGGGTGGGGCTGGGAGGGGGCCCGCGCGGCAGGGGGGCAACGCTGCTCCCGCCGGGGCGCCTCCGGGTCAGCTGCGCGCGTGGTATTCTTCCGGGGGCTCCTCCCGGAACTTGACCCGCCCCCCTCCCTTCTCGGGCGGGGTCTGCCCCAGGCGGTTCGAGCTTCCCAAGGTGAGGTTGTAGTTCTGGGCGGACATCGCCTCCGAGAAGCCCTTCTGGGGTTCGTGCGCCTCCCAGAGGTACGCGTGGAAGGCGCCCGACCTCCACCTCCCGAACCGCTTGAGCCGCTCCAGGTCTGGCATGGCGTGGTACATAGCCGCGGCGCCTCCGATCCTCAGGGAGCGGCTCCCGATGTGCGAGGGATGCATCC